GTAGCAGTTGCTCAGACTCGCTCTGAGGCGTTAGACCAGGAATTGGAACGCCTCTCTATTGACGGTCAACCAAACCTACCAGTTCCAGAGGCGAAACCGATGCAAAAGGTAAAGGAGTATCTGGATTCATTAGACAGGAATGAACCCGAGCCGACTGGTAGTACGTTACCACTTCAAGTATCGGAACCAGCTAATCCGCACCTTCAATCATTAAACAGGAAACATAATCTGGCAGCAATGCAGACGTCGATGGTGTACACCATCGCTAATACACCAATACCATCAGTATTTTACAGCGGGAGTATACCGACTAGCAGCCCCATGCCATATAATCTGGCGTCCCATAATGTGGTAAAGCCCACCCAAATGTTAGATGTAACACCTGAAGGATCTAGAAATGGGGGCGAAGATACAAGTTCACCTAAGGACCAGGTTAATGATGTGCTCCAGACCCTTCTGCAGAAGCAAGGCGAAGTACTTTTGCAATGGGCAATTCAATCTGGGTTACCAAAGAAAGAACTGACCAAATTCAGTGGAGACCCGACAGACTACGGGCGCTTCGTAAGAGCATTTGAGCATGAGGTAGAAGGAAAAGTGAAGGAAGACAGAGATAGGCTGTACTACCTAGAACAATACACCTCAGGTGATGTCAATCAGTTGGTGCGTAGCTGTATGGCTATGGAAGCTAAAAAGGGCTATGCTGAAGCCAAGAAAGCTTTGGCAGCAAGATACGGCAACCCGTTTAAACTAGCAGATGCATACTTTAACAAGGTAAAGTCATTCCCAGACATCAAGGTACAAAATAAGATCGCTTTATCCAGATTCTCACTTGTGTTGATTGAGTGTAAAAATGCCATGTCAGACCTGAACCATCTTCAAGAGTTGAACCACACTAGAAGCATACAATCATTAACAAAGAAGCTGCCATACCGTTTAAGGGACAAATGGAGAACTAAAACAGACTATATACTGGAAGACAGAAGGGTGGAGTTTAAGGACTTTGTAGAGTTTGTCGAACGACAATCAAGGATATTGGATAACCCGACATTCGGTGACATTAAAGAGGAAAAGACAAGTCACAAGCCCATTCATAAGCATGGAGGGACATTTGCTGTAACAGATACAAGGTCGTGTTCACATTGTAAGGGTAATCATACTCTCTCAAAATGCAGCAGATTTGATGGATTGCCAAGAGAGGCAAAATCGGAGTTCATTCGAAAGAATAAATTGTGTTATGGTTGTCTAGGTGCAGGACATCTCAGCAAGAATTGTAGCAGGCGTCACACTTGCGTCAAGTGTAAGAAAGGACACCCAACGACGCTTCATCGTGGGGTGGTGAATGAAATGAGTGCTTCTGCTGGCGGAAGCGTGAAGGAGGAAGTGACAGCTTCATGTGATAACGGCGAAGGAAATTGTGCTTTGGCGATTGTCCCAGTGCAAGTCAGAGCGCAACGAGGATCAAAGGTGGTAATCACTTACGCCTTTCTTGATCCTGGGAGCACCATTTCTTTCTGTTCAGATGGCTTATTGCAGAGCTTGGGAGTCCGAGGTCGGCCTGCAAGAATCTCAATTGAAACTATGGGTTCAAGACACTCTCTACAAACAGAAACTGTTAAAAATTTAATGGTAAGAGCTGTCGATGGTGATGAGGAAGTTCCTATTTCCATGGTGTATAGCAAGCAGAGCTTGCCTGTGGCTAAGGTGCACATTCCAAAGCAAGAGGACATAGATAGATGGCCACATTTAAACGGTGTCAAGATTCCCAAGATTGATTCAGAAATTGGCTTACTTATAGGAATGGGAGTGCCAAGTGCCTATACACCGTTATAGATTAAAACTGGACCGATTGGCGCACCTCATGCTACAAAGACCAAATTAGGTTGGGTCGTGTGGAACCTGATGAGAGACTGTGAAGTAGGAGGCGTGTATCCGGTAAATAAAATAGACTACTTAGTCTTTGGAGAAGAGTAGGCTGGAAAAACTAGTGAGGATTGCAACAGAAATCGACTTTCTCGAAAGAGGTTTAGATAGTAAACTCCATGACTCATTGGAAGATAAGTTGTTTATCAAGAAGGTGGAGCAGACCATTCAGAAGGGTAAAGATAATCACTACACAATAGGATTGCCATTTCGAACAGATGATGTAATTTTGTCTAATAATAGGACCATGGTTGTTAGGCGCCTACAATCACTTCAGAGACGACTAATGAAGGATACCAAGTTGCATTCTGATTACACTGAGTTTATGGAGACACTTGTATGGAAAGGTTATGCCGAAAGAGTGAACAATGACAGCGAGGATATCAAGAATAGATGGTACATTCCA